GGGAAGACCTCTTTGGTTTGGATTCTCAGTGGTTTGGCGCTATTCTACACACGATTTAAGGATCAAAAAGCCTACTAAAGCGCCGGCGGAGATGCGCTGTTTGGCGCACCAGTTAGTGTACTGGTTCTTGTTCGCTTGTTCAGTGGTTGTTCAGTACACAGATTCTTGCTCAGTATTAGAGTCGTTTGTGTAGACGACGACTTGGCTGGGCTGGCAGCAACATCCTGGTCGTCTGGGGTCCTGGTAGACGAGTTTGGTCGTTTGATTTGGGTAGTCGTTTGTGCGATGGAGGTTGTGGGTAAGGAGTGCTCGGTCTCGAGTGGTGTTTGCTGAGTCACATGTGGAGTTGAAGTTTAGGCTTTTGATGAGTGTTTCGCTGAGTCTTCGGGACAGTTTGGAAGAGGCACGGATGGAGTTGCGGCGAGGAGGGGTCGTGCCTTTGAGTAGGTCGGAGCCGAGGATTTGGCGGGCGTAGTCGAGAGTGAGTTTTTCAGGGATCACGAATCCGGAATAAGGTTCATGGTGGAGGCCAGGAGGACGTTGAAGCCGGGGATGGCCGCCGAGCACGGGATAGCCGGCCAGTGGGCTGTGGCGGCCGTCGATGTAGCCCGTCTGACGCACTGTCACTTCCCGAATGGTGGGCGACGGCAACGAAGAATAAGCTCCCGGAGACCCGAACTTGTTCGTCAAACTTGTCACACTCCCCCGTCGCAGCTCCTGTCGATAATCCGAGTCTGGACTCACACTAGTACTCATCCCACCGGTCGCAACCCCGCCAGACGTCATTCCGGTGTTAGAATGTGTTACGGTAATCCTCTGCGACCCCGGCTCCGGCGACAAAACCGGCACCGGCGACACCTGCATCGATCCCACGGTATGGGGCGTGGCAGTCTGGGACGTGGCAGTCTGGGACGTGGTGGAGACGGCAGTCGGCACCACTCTTCGAATCCTAATGCCCCCGCTCTGCTGATTCGGGTACTACAACAGACAAGGGTCACAACAGGCAAACCTTACAACAGACCGGGGTGGAGTGCTGTCAAGAGAAGGCGACGGCAGTGGAAAGCGGGGAGCAAAGCCGGGGGGAGAAACATCGTCGGTGGGTTGGGGGGGAGTGAAGAAGCAGCGTCGGGGGAACCTTGGGTGTGAAAGGGCTTACGGAGTGCTGTATGTCGGTAACGGTGGTCTTTGTTTGGGTTGGTCCTTTGGAGATGGACAGGGAAGAACCCCTGCTTCGCTCGTAGGTGGTGGGGGTGGCGCGGTAGTGTGTGCTAGTCACTGTCCGGTTGGTGATGAACACGGGTTGCCGCGTTATCTGGTTAGATCTGGTGGGTTCCGGGGTCAGTTGGACGGGCGTGAGTTGGACGGGTGAGCGGGGACTCTCAGCGCTACCGGCGCTGTCGGCACTGAAGGACACTCGACGCATTTTTTGTTAAATGACTGATCGGGCGAAGAAGGCGTTAGGATTCGAGATTTGCGCCGCGTTGTGCGCGGACAGCATGAACATCAAGCAGCGCGGGGCGGCGGAGGTGGAGGCCAAAGCACGCGTGTGTCTGCAGCGCGACGACCAAAGCGCGACGAGGGCGATCAGTGACTTGCTGAGTTTGATTGAGACGGAGTTCGTGGGTCTGGAGAACGCACCCACGGCGGCACCCACGGCGGGGACAGCGGGCGCACACACGTGTGCGACGGCGGCGGCATGCGCGGCG